TAAGTGTAAGGGGTTAGGGAATGGTAGGTTAGGGTGTGTAGGGGCTGTAGTGGCCAGGTATGTATGCATACCTTGACATTCTTGCCATCCATGCGCGCCTCCTCGAACTCCTTTCCCAACTCGAACTTAATCTCCGAGTTCTTAATGGCGGTCAACGTCTTGAGCGAAAACACGTCGCCATCTTTGGTGATCTCCACCACCGGTGTCGACGTCTTCGCCAGATTTCTCAACACAAAATTCACGCCTATTTTTGGGCATAATTTTGTTCATCAATTAATTGTGATTTTTGGTACAAAAATGTGTTTAAATATTAAGTTTATATAAGAGTTTAAAATAAGTTTTTTTTTAATTTAATAATTATTTTATTAAGTTAAAGAATATTGTGTGATATATCGATGGAAAGGTATGCGTGTGGTAATGGTATGTGATTATTTATGTATTATTTTAATTGTGATTAATTTAGTTTTTATGATTATTAGTTTGTATTATTGTTTTGTTGATAATTGTGTGAATATTTGTGTAGTTTTTAGGTTAGCATTGAATGCAAAGATTGTGTGAAAATTGTATTAAATTTCGATATTATTTGCGAAAAAAAGTTTTTATAAATAGATTTTCGGTTTGTTTTATAAATAGATACTAGAAATTCAAAACTCTCTCACACACACACACACACACGAAAACTTAGATTAGATTTTAAATGTCTATTATATTGAAAGCATTTAAAGCGAAAAATAATTTGCACTCAATTAGTGAAAAAATTTATTTATCAAGCAAATAGATTCCCTATAAACTCAAAGTCCGTATAAAAGTCTAATTAAAACAAACGTATAATTAATTTCTCATTAAAATAAACATAACATAGCGTCTAAAGTGCAGCACATTTTTGCAAGTATTTTAAAGTCCAGTCCTTACAACTCAGATATGATTTCCCAAAAAATACTTAATATTGAAATCAAATGATAAAAACGTTTTTCTCATTACTTTCTATTCACACGAGAATTATGGCGACAAATAATTTTCTGTATATTTAAGCAAAAAATATAATTATAAGTCTATTAACCAATAGTCATTTATAAACGACTAAATACTATACAGAAAAAAGTTTCCAGTTTTGGCAAAAAGTATATAAAATATATTTTTTGAGATAACATTCACTATACAGTTAGTGATAAAAGTTTTGACAATTAGTTGTATTGTTTTATATGTTAATTGAAAATAAACTAAAGTCTTATAAAAACTACCAGTCCTTCGGTACATTGAAATCAGATTTATGTAAGAGCACAGGGAGTTTGGGGTGAGTGGGCTGGTAGCTCATGGGACTGGTTGTTTGGTAAACTGCTAGATATGATAGAAAATTGAATATAATATCGCATTTATCATAAAATATGTTTTATCATCAAAATTAATATTAATGTTTAAATTGAGTGTCATATCAGTGTAGGGTCGGGTGCGAAGTGCACATACATGCCATACCCACAGGGCATGTATATGTAATACAGTATAATGTTAGCCAGTTAATGGGAACGGTAGTATAAATTATTTTTTAAAGATTTATATATTATGTATTATAAATACAATTAAGTTTTAAAATAAGTTTTACAATAGCTACATGCCACATTGTAAATTTATTTTTAATACACACTATACAGGGGGGTTAGGGTTAGAGCACATGGAGTATACTGTATGAAAAGACATTGAAAACTGTTATTAACCTTAAGATAGCGGGAAGTGCTTATCAATTAGTCTTATCTATCTATGCATACAATACCAGCGATTTATATACAGTATATTTAGCATCAGATTTAAGGCACACAAAAAAAATTATCACAAAATTTGTTTCATAAGAAAAAACTTTTGCACATTTTATTATGTAATAAAAAAACTATCTAATAAACTACAGTACATTGGTGCCTTAGTGGCCGGGTAGGGCTGTTATTAAAATTAATAGATTTATAAATCTATCATATTTACAGCTAGTATTGAGGGCTAATGTACAGTACAATAGGGTAGTTATCTATGAGTCAACTGTTATATGTAGTGATTAGGTGGGGATCTGAAGGACTGGTAGCTAATGGGACGGTTAGTAGATGTGTACTGATCATCAAGTGGTTAACAGTCTCTCTCTCTCTCTCTCTCTCTCTCTCTCGTAATAATTATGAACAAAACAATCGCTTTTGTCATTCAATCGCAAAGTGTTTATAAATGACTATTAGTTAATAG